CTACACAAGCCAGTAAAGAAGCAATTTGGTTGAAGATGCTATTGGAGGAGCTTGGGCACAATCAAGAGTATGTCTCTCTGTTTTGTGACAGTAAAAGCGCCTTGCATCTAGCAAGGAATCCAACATTTCATTCAAGGACAAAGCACATACGAGTTAAGTACCATTTCATTCGTGAAAATGTGGAAGAAGGAACGGTAGATATGCAGAAGATCCATACCAAAGACAACATAGCAGATTTCATGACGAAGGCAATCAATGCTGATAAATTTACCAGGTGTCGATCCTCCTGTGGCCTGTCAGAAACATAAACAACATGAAGGTACAAGGTAGAAAGAATGGTGTGAAGATATGATTATTACAATCAAATCTTCAAGTGGGAGATTGTTAAAAGTCAAATAATTTAGGCACCAAATTAGGCACCAAATGGTGCTTTGTCAAAGTCAAAAATTAGGCACCCAATTTTTGTTGAAATTGGGTAATGGGATAATTAATTTTAGTCATTGTAATTTAGGGTATTTATAAGATTAGTCCTTAAGTTTCAACTATAAATACCCTAGCTCATATAGCTTCAAAATCATCCCAAAGCATTCTAGCTTTCTTCTAATACTAGAGAGAATTTAGAGAGTTTCTTGAGAGATATTTTCTCCTTTTTATCAAGAGAGAATTATCATTGTATTCTCCTTGGTAGATCGAGAGAGGTTGTAATTCCTATTTTTCTCATAGTGAAATTCTTCTACCGTTGCCCGTGGTTTTTACCCTATATTATTTAGGGGTTTTCCACGTAAATTTTGTGTCTCTTTTATCTTCATTTTTATTTTCTCAAATTATCAGTTGCGATTTTGCTCTATCTGATAGCCGTCTTCCGCAATAATATCTTGAGGCTTAGTCATTTATCTAGGGAGGTCGGTTCTTGGGAGCAGGAGGTTCGATGGGCAGTTGCTAAGCTAAAGATGAAGACTCCTCTAGTTTCTTTGCTGAAGATTGATAGGAGTGCTTATGCTTGTCATATTTGGATGGAAAGGAATAATAGAGTATTCAAGGAGAGAATGGAAGGAGCTCGGGAACTTTAATTGAAGCAATTAAAGAAATGGTTCAGTTGAGGTTGATGGGGGTTCCTGCAAATCGTAAAGGGGTTAATGGTTGGCCGTATAATAGCTGGGGTATAGAATGATTGTTGTATAGGGGTTTTTTTGCCATTACTTGGGGTGTTTGTTGTTTTCCTAGAAGCAATTTTTTTAGTTCTTCTTTCTGTCCTCTGTGTTGAATAGCAGTGTTGTTGCTTTGTTTTCTTTATAGCAGATTGTCTGCTTTCTTTGGGTAATGAATTCTGCATTTATCCACACACATAGAAAATGTTTTATGGAAAATGTTATTTGGTGTTTGATAGTTGTAATTAAAATTATGGATGTTCAAACTGTTAATTCAGTCACCTATCGAATTGAATTACCATTAACCGAATTAACTCAATTTTTTTTGTATAACCATTGGTATCTCCGATCTATTGATCGATTAATCTAAATCAAGTACTCCAGAGGCAAGTGCGGTTCTCCCAACCCAGTTTGTTTCATTCACAATGGTCAGGATTTGAACCATTGACCTTGCTTAGGAGATCTAGTGCCTCATCCAGTAAACCAACTGATTGTTAGTTCAACTTTTTTTTCCTTTAATCATTAATTAAACCGTTTTTTTTAAAATGTTAATCAAACTGAACTTTATTCATTTTATGTAAATCATTTTCTATAAAATTAATTATAGTGTACCAAACAGTTAGTGAAAATGATTTACACAATATTATTCAAACACTGTAAAATAATTTCTGAAAACTGTTTTTCAGAAAATATAATTTATTTTAAGTAAAATAATTTTTAATTTATTTTTAAAAAAACCAATTATAGTTTTGTATAAAGTATGTTTAATATACTATAATTGGTTTTGTGTATGTTCTCTTTCTATTATTTTTTGCAATGAGATTAAATTTTTGCTTCGCAATATAATTTTTTTAATAGAGGCAATATAAAATTTTAAATAGGCTTTTTTTTGTTTTGCTTTATTCTTATTATTATTTGGATAAACTACCCCAATGATCACTAATATTTAAGTAAGTTTTTATTTTCCCACTGAAGTTTAAAAAGTAATAAATTAATTAGTAATATTATCGATTTGTAACAAAAAATCACTTAACCGTTATCTTTGTTAAATTGAGAACGCCACTAAATGTAAAAAATAGTGGCGTTTGTCAGTAAACGCCTCAATAGACATTTAATTTAGTGACATTTTTCATTAAAACGCCGCAATTAAATAGTAAACGGTGGCCTTTTTTACACAAATGTCGGTATAGACTCTTACAATAGTGGCGTTTTATTGCAATGCCGCACGTACATTTGTGTTATTTTTTAACAAAACGCCGCCATAAGATGCTATATCTCAAACCATTTTCCTGCCCGATCCTTAATTCCTTTTTAACCTATTCTTTGACCTCTTCCTCCTCCATCCTTACCAATAGAGAATCTTCATCAAATCGGCGTGCCAGCCAATCACCACTGTCGCGCCGCCAATCACTCTTCAAGGCTCAAAATGTTGCTGTTGTTTGCTGCTGTTTAATTTAATCATCAGCCGAAACCCTCGCTTATAAATACCTATCGTCCCATTTATTCAAATTTCTCTCTAGCTATAGAAATTATTGTGCCAACATCAGAGCCGGAGACAAAGGAAGAGAAGGTGATTGAGATTCCAAAAGAATGTCCGACTCAAAGCGACCAATCACCGAACCGGAGGAAATCGGTTCATTGGTTAGTGATTCGCCTCCGGCCGATCATGGAGCCACCATGCCTCCTCCTTACCGATCAAATCCTTACGTTACTCACACTCCTTCTCCAGAATCTTCTTCGTCTCCCTTCAAAGGCCAGCCATCACACGCTTATTTCATTATCATTATCTTAATTATTGAAACATTTTAATAATTTATTTTTGAAATTGGAAACAGAGAAAATGGATATAGTGAAGGATGCCTTGGGGAGATGGGGGAGGAAAGTGGAAGAAGCGACGAGGAAAGCCGAGGATCTGGCCGAAAACACGTGGCGGCATTGTATGTTTTTTTTCCTTTTCCATTATAAAATTTCACTTCATTTTCATACGATTCATTTTTAACAGAGGAGGTGTTGAACTTCATTATTTCATCTTTCCTTCTCGCTCTGTACCATGTTTTTATCTATCGCGTATAGAAATTATAGTAATCTTTGATGTTTTAAGCTGAACAAACTGTTACTTGCTGCTGTTTAGTTCTTTTCGTGTTCGATGGAAGTGTGTTGAATGAACTGTTATTTGATTTATCTAGTTCGGTTGAACAAACTGTCTTTTATCTAATGTTGCTGCTGTTTGTTGTTGTTGTTTGCTGCTGTTCCAAAGAAATACCGAATTATGGGGATGAACGAGGAAGATGACATTGTATAATAATTTATTCCTCTCCCACTCTCTGCCTTGTTTTTTTCTATTCAAACCTGACCTGCTCTTAAAGGTCCAAAGTGAACCTTTCATCATTACCAAGTCCTTTTAATTTGAAACGCATCAAGTAAGATTTGAGTTTGTGATCAATTAGCTACGAAACTTGATTGCCATGTTGCATGTACGATAATTATGATAATACCTTTAGGTGTTTGTATGTTCTGTCTGCATGAGTTGTAAAAGTTTAATTTATTCTTCCATCCATGTAGGACTTCCAAAATAAAAAAGAAATTAGTGTTTTTAGCGGCGTTTTGAAAGCATTGAAGTGTACAAGTAGTCTTCTTGGAGACCCGGAACTAGAAGATTTATTTGGTGAAATTGGTGAAAAGAGGTTCTCCATTTACAATTTAGACGGAGGAAAAACTTAACGATGATTCATCAAACAAGGAAAACTGTTTTTTTTACTTCCTCTCTCTATGAAGGACCAATGAAGACTCATAGATTGTGGATATAACATAGGTTGAACTTGCGAGAGTTGAGAGGAATTTGCTTGCAGACTTTAATGTTCGTTAACTTTGATTTATTTATGTAAACTATTTTTACTTAATTCGACTCGTAATTATATTTTAAGGTTGTTGTTATTGGATATTGTACATCAATTAAATTTGGGTAATAAATAGCTGAAAATAACATTTACCAAACATGTTTCATTTGTGGCGTTTTTAGATAAAAAAAGCCACTAATGGACTACATAATTGTGGCGTTTTCAATGGAAAACGTCACTAAATTACCTACCTATTGCGGCATTTATAAGAAAACGCCGCTAAATGCTTGAACCTATTGTGGCATTTGTAAGAAAAACGCGCTAAATATATGAACCTATTGCGGCTTTTTTATTTACAAACGCCGATGTTTGCAGCGTTAGTTTTAACGGCGTTTCTTGCACCGCTATAGCCCCATTCTGTTGTAGTATTTGTTCAAAAGTTAATGTTAAGTTTTGAAAAATAAAAGTTTATGTACTAAAACGAACCAAAACTTATAGTTTAGGTACTAAACGCATTAAGTTTTTATCGCGAATACTAAAATAAAATTAAACTAAACATTATATTATTTTGAAAAAATTAAAAGTTAAGTACTAAAACAATCTAAAATTGATGATTCAGGTATAAATACGTAGTTTACCACCTTTAATAGGAAAACATGAGGATTAGGTAAGTGAGTATAGGGATGATAATTTTTCTCGATCTCGGCGTGTCTTGGTTTATTTGATCTGCTTCACATTAGAAGGAAAAAGTGGTTGAATATGAGAAATTATTTCATGAACCTGACTTACCATGTTATTTATGATCACAATAAATCACATTAATTAATTTTAAAATAATTGTAAAATAACTGTTCACTCAATATTTACATGTAGGAAATATGTGAATAAAACATATTATCAGGTGAGACCACAAATAATATGGTGAGCCGAATACATCTAATAATTTTTCGTTGAGTAGGCTGGTTAGAGAAATAATCTCATGAGATGTTCTTTCTCACTTTAAAGGTATTGGAGCTTTATGGTTCGAAATGAAAATCTTTCAGCTTCATGTAACGAAGTATGACTTGAAAACACATTGAAGGTTCTGTTTTTTCCCCCTGGAATTGTGGTCGGGTCTTCGCGATGGTTATTATATGACTAAAAAGACGAAGGTAACCGTTATTTGAATCTTTGATTACAATACATAGGATATATTCAGCAGCAGATGCAGGTCCTGGGAATGTCTCCCGTCGTTCTAATTATATTTGCCTTTCCTTTGCTCGAACTTCATCATTTCTCTGCTTCTCCTCCGCCTGTGCTCTTGCTGCTTCCACTGCTTGTTTGATATACTCCATTTCTTTCTTAAATTTCAGCGAGGCTCGTGCTCTTTTCGCTCCAATCCTCTCTGATGCTCCAAGAAACGATAATTATTCTTTTACTACTAGGTTGCTCAATTTGTGCCTAAGAAATAGTTTGAATCGGACAAAACAAGTCTCACCTCTGCTCGGTCCAGCTTGTCCTTGGCTTTCTTCTTCTTCTTTCCCTCCTTGACAGTAATTATATTTGCCTTTTGATTCGCCTCCGCCTGTGATCTTTCTCCATCCACAGCTTGTTTGATATGGTCCATTTCGTTTTGAAATTCTAGTAAGGCTCTTGCTCTTTTTCGCTCCAATCCTCGCTGGTGCTCCAAGAAATAAGCTATTAGTCTATAAGAAATAGTTGTGATTAGGGAAAGGAAAACGATCTCACCTCTGCTCTGTACAGCTTGGTCTTGGCTTTCTTCTTCTTCTTTTCCTCCCAGGCAAGTATAGTGCTTTTCAACTTCGTATACCGTTCTTTGATCTTGGCCATCTCGTCCTTCTCCCAGGCCTCTGCTTTCGTCCTCTCCGTCTGTGGTTTAATGGCGGGATGATGGGGTTTTGTTGCAGTGCTTTCTGTAGGACCGGAAAGCATTTCGAGCTTAGAGGAACTTCTCGGTTCTGTAAGGCTAGTTATGCCCAAATGATCGGCAAAGGTAAGAGATTTTCTAAACGATGGGCCACGTTTAGGTCCCTTCTCATCATTGCCATCAGTTGCTGGCACCTTTCTCGATCCTTCACCTGAGAATTGTTCGGATATAGTGCCAGCTTCCGATGTTGAAGATGACTTGTCTTCCTTTCTGCTCTTATCTGTGATAAACGAGGGATCAAGATCTGAGCTGCTCTTTTTCTGATCTTGGATGCTTGGTTTTGCAATTGATGAGGTAATTACATATGTAGCAGCTGCAACTGCAAGTACTTGTCTGGTTTATGGTCTGAATCATCATTCGAAGCCATCGTCTTGCCTGAAAATGGTCTTCGAAACCAGTTCTGGGTTCTCTTCTCTGCAGAAGGAACATAATCTGAAGTTGTTCATCTTCAGGTTAGAAAAAATAGATGGGGAGAACAGTGTTACTTTTACTTACCTCGTTTGAATGATTGAGTTTTTTGAGGTGGGATCCTTTGGTTTCTGATCGACTCTTCTGTTTTGCCCTGTCCGGCACCGGAAAGTCTCCCCCTGGTGCAAATGATCAGTCAAAAATCTTATTCTCTGCAGATTCCTAAAGGTCAGTGCATGGAAAGGAAAATAGAATTTACCTCGCCGGCTTCAGCAAAGTCTCCATTGTTTCAGATGACTTTCTCAAAAGGATTTCATGGTGTGGTAATGGGAAGAAGACAAGCTTTGGATAAATATGCTTTGCATTGCATGCAAACCTTGGTTTGAATATTCTCAAGAAACTTATTATTTCCTTTTGATTTTAAATGTTAATCAATGTTAATACACAGCTTAATATCGTTTAAATAAGGTGTTAGGTTCGAGTCATTGCAGGGATGGAGGTAAGATTTTATAGTAGTAAGGATGAATTTGAACTTATAAAATTTTAGGAGACGAACTTGAACTTATAAAATTTTAGGAGATAAAAATAATTTTTCAATAAAAAATACATAGAAAAAGTCTAAAATATATGATAATTTTAGATTTTTAGGGGGCAACTGCCCCGCCTAGGTCCATCCCTCATTCCCGAGTCTTTGTGTATATAAAACTCTTATCGAGAACTCATATAATAAAATCAAGTGTACGACTCAGATTAGTTCAAATTAATAAGAAACGTTGGAACTATAGTAAAAAAAGGGTTTGCCAGGAAGGCAAGAGGTTTGAGGAGAATCTTGTATTGTTCAGATAACATTGGTTTATACCTATGTTGATATGCTAAGCTTCTGGTATGCAAAGAAATAAAGTGATTTATTCCTTATTGAAATAATATTTTAATAAAAATATAAAAATGCTATAAAATATAAAAAAATTACTCGAAAAATATTTTATTTTCTAATAAAACATATTTTTAAACCTAAAAATTCAAATTAAAATTTACCGAATTTTAAATTAAATTATCATCCCTAAATTTGAATAATATTATATACACTCTGTGTGTGAGAGAGAGTTTATCCCAACAAAATATAAAAACATATATGATAATGCTAAAAGAAAACAATACTATATAGGATAAATTACACATTTAGTATCTAGATTATTAATTTTTGGTCCAATTCAATACTTAAATTTTAAATTTTTTAAAATCATATCTAACATTTAGTTTTTATTTCATTTTAGTAATGCACCATTAAAAACTTGTTTAATATCTAAACTATCAATTTTGGTCCGTTTTGATGACTAAACTTTCAAAAAAAATCACAATGAAAACAAAAACTAACATTTAAGTATGATTTTAAAAAATTAAAAATTTTCAGTACTAAAATAGACTAAAACTGATAATTTAATTGCTAAAGGTGTAATTTACCCTACTATATATCGCTATCATTTTGTTTACTTGTACTTTTGGGAAACATGTGGGACATGCCACGTATATAGTATTAGAATATCTTCAACTTGAAACTATACCTATCCTTTAACGCCCATACTTTTGATCTTCCTTTTGATACGGGGCCGGTTCATTTTGTGTACATGTCAACTGAAACCAATTTCCTTCCAGGAAGCAACCAATATAACTTTCTGAGGCGTGATCTCGAGTCGGTTGATCGGATGAAGACCCCTTTTTTCGTATTTCAAGGCCATAGACCGATGTACACTACAAGCTTTGCAAGTAAAGATGCCCCATTGAGAGAAAGAATGTTCGAGCACTTGGAACCTTTGTTGGTGAAAAACAAGGTAACCCTTGTATTGTGGGGCCATGTCCATCGGTACGATAGGTTTTGTCCGATGAAGAACTTCACATGTGGAAGCATGGGACAGAAGGGGGAGGATTGGGAAGCATTACCGGTTCCTGTTGTGATCGGGATGGGAGGACAAGACTGGCAACCAAAATGGGAGCCTAGGCCAGACCATCCAGACGACCCGGTCTTCCCACAACCCAAAAGGTCTTTGTACCGTGCAGGCGAATTCGGGTACACTAGATTAGTTGCTACAAGAGAGAAACTTAGACTTTCATTTGTAGGAAACCATGATGGTGAGGTGCATGATATGGTTGAGATTTTGGCATCAGGGAAGTTCTTAATGGCAGTGAAATCGACAATGGTAAAGTTGGTGCATTCCATAAGGTTGACGCAAAACGTTACTCATTTTCACATTATCTCTGGGGTGTCAGTGTCATGGTGCTCGGGGTTTTCATCGGCTATGTTCTCGGTTTTGTTTCACATGCTCGGATACCGGGAAGGGACTGGACTTTGGTGAAAACTCAGGAGACATGAAGAGCTAAAGATGCACTGTGCGCTTCAAATTTTCAATTCTATTGCAATGTCATTATAGTGCTTTCATGCTATTTACAGGGTATGTGCCTTAACGTATCTCTAAACTTCCATAGTTTACAATCTTTCTCATTGTTTGAAGTAAAGCATTTTATGTGAGAAATGGAGAAGCAAAAACTCGTTTTATTCCACGTAAACCAATCGAGTAAATCGGTGATGACAAATGTTCGTGTCGGATGGGGGAAGAAATCATTACTATTGAATACAAGTTCAATCACCGTTCAGTGATTCATATACAGGAAAGTAACCAGCAAAATATTCACCCTTGAATGGGCGGGACGAAAAGGAAATGTTAAAACATCTTTAATGCAGGTATGTGAAAGTAACTTTGGTAAGCTCTGCAACTGTTCTTAGTTGAGCAATTTTTTTGCACGTTGATTGGCACCCTTCACTCGGCTATTCAGTTCATCCACATCATCAGCTAGATGATCAAGAGCTTTGTTTTGTCTGCAATCACCAATTTCATGCAAGGATATAAGAAATGCAGCTTTTTTTAAAAACGTAAAGCCAATGTGATAAGAGCAAAGTAACAGACCTATCAAGTTCAGTTCCCATGTCAACAGCCATGCCCTTTAGATCACCCAAGATATCACTTAAATCAGAAAGTGCATCGTCTTGCTTTCTCTTCTCGAGCTGGAGTTAGACAATGGATTAACCGTAACACAATCATCGAATTTTACTAAGATTTGCAGGCATGTCATGGTACTTACCTCGACTTTCTGCATGGCATCGGTCGGTTCCGGTTCCGAAGTAGTCTTGCTTCCACCCTTCTTAGGTGCAGGAGCCAGACCCAGCTTTTCTCTCTGCCCCTTCCGGGCATTGTCTTTCTTGTGATCATCTACCAAACCAATGCAATGAACAATCCAATCATACCACAATTCGATGCTGAACGCAAAGTATTCGAATAAATCAATTGCATTGAAGAAAGGAATTTAAACCTGCGGTGATCACCGGACCGGTAATGTCTCGAGTCTTCTTTGGTTTCCAGGGCATAGAAAACACACCCCCTAGATTATTCAAAAGCTTCTCACCCTGATATTGGAAACTTGAACTCTAAGTATGAGAATGAGAGCTACAAAGAAGTTGCCTTCTTGTACAAGGAAATCAAATAACATTATATGATCCAAAAGACCACAAGAATATTGCAGATACTGGTTTTCGATTATCAACACTTCTGTCGATAGTAATGCTGGAAAATACATTCCCTACCGAAGCGATTATATCGGAAAGCTGTGGAGCTAACAACACAGAGTATCGCGCAAAAGACATTCTACGTAGAGCTTACCTTACTCAAATCCTTATCCATGCCAACAGCCATTTGATGAGTCCTTTCGATTTGCTCTCCTTGCTGGTGCAAAGTATCAAGAGTCTTTGAAGCATCCTCTCGGATGTTCTCAGCAATCCTCAAGCAGTTATTGACAGTACTCGTTGTCTCCTCGGCCTTGTAGACGGCGTAACCTTCGAGGTCTTCGGTGGTCTGGGCTTGTAGCCCTCCGGAGTCGCGGAAATCGTCCTTGTATTTATCGCGATTCCTTGCCGGTGATGGCCTAGTGGATGCCGAACTCTGCTTTTTCTTTCCCTTGCCAGTGTCATCTTCCATGGAATCCGCTAACAGCACGGGATCGGAGGATGTCCTTCTAGCAGGCGGCATCGCATTCTGGTTGTCCTCGGCATCAGCCGGCTTTTGCTTCGATTTCATAAACCCAAACATTTTGTCAACCGTGAAATTTGTCTGTCTAGTGATTTATTCAACAAATGGTACCTGAAATAAACAAGCAATTGTAATAACTACAAGGAATGTGTCTCGTGCACCCAGAATTCAACTAAAAACGATTCATCACATTCAAAGCAATGGGATCAACAAAAAACACAAATACAAGCAGATTAAACAAAAGGGTACCAGTGAAAAACTTTGGAATTGAACAAAAAAATGGAGAGGAAAACAAAATAACACAAACCCAAAAACAAAAAAAGGGTTTGTGTGTAAGGAATTATTTGGAAATGGAGAAGAGTGTTAGTGTAAGAATTTCATTTTGTCAACTTCGAATTACCATTTATTTGTCATCTTCTCCATCTTTGATCAAACAAATGGTAGGCATCCCGGAAAAAACCAGAGCAATCCTTACCCCTTGCAATAATCTCCAAAACTATAGGAAATCTCTTTGTTTTAAACCGTTGGAGTTTGAATTTCTGTTGGATTTTCCCATTTTGAGGGGGGGGGGGAAACATACTTTTGTGCTTTCTAATTTTAGCAAAAGATTATGTTCAGTGTACCATTGTAATATTAATGGTTAATTGACTAATTGTGTGAAAGTCTCTCTTGAGAAGCTATCACATCCTTTCTTTCTTTTGCCTCCCTTTTTCAGCAAAATATCTTACATTAGGACAAGTCTTAGCCTCCAGTTGAGATGGTCCCCTCTTCAACTTCTCCATGTGACAAAAATATCCTGTTTTTTTGCTTAATCTCAACACAAGCTTATAGTTTTTGTCAGAAAATATCTGATTTTAAACAAGCTTATGAAGTTATAATCTCCATTAATGGCCCTCATTTGTTCATTACCATCATCATTACTAGCATCAAATGCTTTTGACTGCAAGCAAGATGTTAATGGCACCTAGAAAATTACGATCTAAAAATAAGTTTATTCACAGGAATTACATATAATCATGGATAATCTTATATAGTTTCACAATTTCACTCGTGTATGAGACTAAGAAGAAGAAGCAACAAGTTTGAAGATAAGAAGACAAAAGCAACGCTCTCTCTTTCCACTCATTTCGTTTCTCTTTCTTTTATTATTATCACCCACTCTTTCTACAACTGAACAGAAAGGGTAGTGAAACCAACAACAATGGCGTCTCTACCTTTCTCTGCAACCAGTTTTCACTCCACTTTCATTGGTTTTAACTATAAAGCAAAAAACCCGAACTTTTTCTTGATCAGAAAAG